CTTGTATCTCAGCAATTCTTTTGTATAGATGTATGTAGATATATTATAACGCAATGTAGTTAGCTCATCTATAGTGTTTTGAAGGAAGTAGGAAGTGGTCATTGTTGGAACTATTAGTGACCTCAATCGTCCACATAGGTTTAAACATAATAATTATTGAACACCTCTCTTCTAAAACAACCTGATTTATAGTGTGAACTTTAGATAATGCTTTTTCCACCTTGTTTTCAGTCTATTTCTTCTTTTCAATACGATAATCAAACTTCAAAAGTTTGGTTAAATATTTATGTTGGAGTGGTATTGAAAGTTTTTGGTCTAACAGATACCTTAAACTCATTTGATCTGTCTAATAATGAAAAGGGCATGCAACAACTAGTTTGAGGTATAGCCATGATAATAGCTAAGAATCCCTTCTTATAAATGAACAATCCCAAGTTCTTAGGGCTCAAGGTCTTACTTAAGAAAGCTAAAGGAGGTTGTTCTTGCATGAAAACCCTTAAACTCTCTTATAAGATACATCAGTTTCCAGTACAAAGGGTTTAGAGAAATTAGGCAGTGCCAATATTGGGGCTGTAGTCATTGTTTTTTTAGTAGCTAAAATGCAATCTTTATTTTTTCAATCCACACAAACTTATCATTTTTTGTGAGATCAGTTAGGGCTTTAGCAATCATCCCATAATGTTGTATGAATTTTCTGTAATACCCCGCAAGCTCCAAGAATCCTTTCAATGCCTTAACATTAAGTGGTGTTGGCCAATCCAGCATTAGATGTATCTTAGCCCTATCCATGGGTTCATGTTCACCGCAAATTATATGCCTCAAGTACTCTACCTCTATTTTACCAAAGTTGCATTATGACATCTTAGCAAATAGAGTATGCTAAGATAGAACGGTAAACACAATCCTCAAGTGTTGTAAGTGGACTGTCATTCTTATGTTGTAGATGAGAATATCATCAAAGAATACCAGTATAAATTCCCTCAGATGAGCCTTAAAAATCTGATTCATTATCGACTAAAAAGTGGTTGGTGCATTTGTGAAGTCAAAAGGCATCACGAAGAACTTATATAACCCGAAAATAGTTACAAAAGTTTTTTTAGAAATATCCTCATCTTGCATTCTAATATGATTGTATCCAACCCTCAATTTGATCTTTGAGAATATAGTTGTTTTTCCCAATTTATCCAATAAATCCTCCACTAATGGAATATGATAGCTATCCTTAACTGTGGCAGCATTGAGCTTCCTATAATCAATACAAAACCCCCAAGATCCATCCTTTTTTTTTTGACTAATAACACATCGAAAGAATATGGATTGTTATTGTATCTAATAGTATCCGTCTGTAGCATCTCATCCACCAACTTCTCAATTTATTTCTTTGAATCATGGAATAACTATAAATATGTTTCTTAATAGGACTTATATTGGATTTAGAAGGATTTCGTGATCCATATTTCTTTTAAGTGGAAAATAAATGGGAATTTAAAAAATATGACGGAAGTGTTTACTTAGTGGCTCTATTTCAGGTTGGCAAATAACTAATTCTTTTTTTGTTTGTTCAGTAATGACACATAAGAAGCCTTCGGTGCTCTCCCTATCCATTTATATATTAAATTGATTCATATTCAACATATATATTGTGAATCCATGTTGAATCCTCTTGAGCTTGATCAATATTATTTTAAAATGAAATTTGACAGTGTGCTCGTAAAATTCAGAGTTACTTGCCCAAGCTGGAAAAGGACATCCACCCTAATTACCATGTCACAAACCCCCAACTCAGTAATCTTACAAAGAGTTCTAATCCTATGTCCCCTCATTTCCCATTCAAACATTGGACACTTAGAATTGCATTCAACTTTATTTCTATCAACAACTCTTATTAGTTGGATTAGCATATTCTACTATATAACCCACACTTGCAGCTGTTTTAAGATCTAGAAAGGTGTGGGTGTTGCCTGAGTTTAATAAAATAACCAATTTATTGTTGTTAGACTTGCCCAATAATTTCATAGTGTTGGATGACACTTGCCCAACCACAATATTCAAAGAGATTTGTGGTTCTTTAATTTCACTCTTATTATTATTTTTAATTCCATAGTATCATTGTCATTCAGACTGTCTTTAGCTTCCTCTTCCATAATCAAGTACACTATTTTGCATTTATGTCAAATATAGAATACCTCATCAGAATTAAGGCATAATTTTATTATTATTATTTTTTTATCTACTAGCCTTCATTTCCTCAGAGGTTAACCTCCTAATAGATGACAATTTTTGGCTTGACAATGTCTGATCCTCCTTCGGCCTCTGTTGCCATTGACGGTTGTGAATTAGTGAGTCTGTTAGAGCATCTTTGCCTTTTAGTGAGGAGATTGACAATATTTTCACTTTGGATAGCCAATTGAATACCTGTCATCCGATTGCTAAGCCCCTGCTTTGCCACAAGCTTACAAAATTCTTCTTTCTATCATTCAATAAACTTTGCACAAAGTAATTCTTCCCTAAAGCTTTATTACTCCCTCTTATCAAAGCTTTCATCTCCTCAAATTCCCGAATGTAGCTTATAGATTGGTAGTCTATTGTAGTTTATTAAATTGAACCACTAAACTTTCTCCAACGGGATTCAAAAACCACTCCAACACTAGTTCACAAAACTTAGTCCATCACATATTATTTTTTCCTCGATGTAGTCCATAAACCAATTGTCGGCTAATCTTTCTAGATTCAAATAAACTAGGCTAAGTTTATCATAACCGATCATTTGATTATAGGAAAAAATAATTAGAACATTTTATAAGCCACAATCTAGGGTTATCCCTACTGAATTTAGGAAATTCTAACCTCAATTAATTATCCAACAGGTTAGGATGAGGCTCATTCAACCTAGTCGTTGGGAAAGAATCAAGAACAATGTACGAAATAAATGGATTAAAAAGCTCCTTACTCCTTGTTGAAGGACCTGGTTGTTGATCCTTTATCAAGTTTAAGAACTGTGCTTTTAGAATCTTCTCTAGACTCTCCAATTTTGCATCCAACTTCGATTTTTAACCTAGCTTCCATTTGGATTTGGCCCTCCAACATTGTTGTCTAGCCTTCCATCACCTCGTCTATCTGTCGTTCCAAAGTCTCCAGGCGATGCGTATGTGAGGGGCCATCAAAGGGAGCAACGAATTATAACTTTGATACCAAATTGTCATGCCTCAACAATAATGTAATCGAATTTGGAAGAATTTCAAAAAATAAAGTAAAAAAACAAAAAAACGAAGAAGAAGATAATTAATTTTATTAGCTTTTCTATTAACTTCCCAATTAATAGTAAAACAAGTACATATAGTATTCCATTAAAAGTATTAAAAGAAGTCAAAATAGCATAAAATATCATTGTGATTTCGTAATTTGCTAAAAAATTCCTTTCATCCTAAACTTTCACATAGCTTACTCGTAGTTTTGAAAATATTGCACACTCACCCCTTTTTAAATTTTACTAACGGTGTTATACTTTACCAAAAGTGGATTGTTATGCCTCTATTTGTATTTTTTTACTTAGTAAATTTTGGGTTGGGTAGAAACGAATCATCCCCTATTTACTTACACCCATTGTCTGTAAGATACTCTCACCAGCCTCGACACTGCAGACAGTTCCACGCCGCCTCTTGTGTACGCTCTTCCACTCCCATGTCGCACTCATTTTGACACTGTAGTCGCTCTGATGCCACCGTTGTCACCAGTTTAACCTTACCTTACATTATTCTCCTCACGTTGAAACAAATCAGGTTTAGATCCAAGTTACATAAATTTCATATCAAATCATTTACTTCACCTCTAAGATCTTGCTCTCTCAACTATTGAATTCAAGAATCTAAACTTAGTACAACAAATTTGATAGAAGTTTAAGACAATCATCATAGCAAAGCAACCAAATACAATGGAGTAAAAATATCAATCATATTTATAGAAACAATGATGGATTAATTTAAAAAACTAATGCATCAACACATCAATTTAATTAAATCAAAATCAAAAGCACATGACTGTTAATTTTTTTTTTTTTTTTCTAAACTCCACTCCACCACCATCATCTTTTCCCTTTCTCCTAACCCTAATTGTTTAATCGGAGAGACCAATTTTCCATACACGAATCAAATAATAATAATAATAGCAACTAAAGTGTGAAAAGGCTTTGCATTAATTTAACCATAACAACTCTCAAATGTGCTTTGTCGCCCAACAGGGGACTCTTAAAGCCCTAGATAGATATATTCTTAGGCACGCCAAACCGACACAGTTCCATTCACCATCCACTTGCAAGTTTATTTTTCCCATTTTTCATGAATCAATTGGTGAATGGTACTTTCGCTTGAAAAAACGATGGATACAAATGTTTCCTCAATTCGATAACCATGATGACGGCCAAGGATTTGCAGTGCGATTGATTAGGATCAAAGCGAAAATGTATATTATCGCGGAATTTGGCGTGAGACATAGAAATATAGAATCAAACAGAATGAGTCACATGATAACTTCCGCGGTTATATCAAATTTAGAGTAAAGTATGAAGGATGAAGAAGGAGAAGAGAATGGTGAACAAGGAGATGAAGGTACGTCTAATAAAATATGAGGGTATTTTATAAATTCATCTATTGTTATATTATAGTATAGATTTTTTTTTGCCATAATACGCTCAAAGAAATAAAATATTAAAATATGAGAGTATTTCAAATGTTGAACTAAATCATGACCGACAAATCGTGGGTTCAAACTTTCCATCCCTCCAAATCTTGCCTTATAGACTATATGAATGGTTGCGAATTTCTACGTCATTAAAATATATATATATATATTGAAGTCAAAATTAGGGGCTTAACTGTTATATTTTGATATATGAGGGGATTTTCAAATTATAAAAATATTAGGGGTGGAGAATGCAAAATTATTTAAATTTAAATGTGACATATATATAATACAATATAATATTATTACAATAATAAAATAGATAGTAATTCCAAATAAGAGCAGCAGATCATCGCATTTCTTGTTCTCGTCTTCTCCAAAAACCCTCACCGAATTCGCACGCAATAATTCTCACCAATTGAATCGTTATGGCTTCCAATGGAGCTCAAATTGTTTGTATACCATGCCCGCTACTCCAATTTATCTCTACCCTTTTGTTATTTCATATTCAGCTTGTAATTTGATGGAATTTGGAGTTCGTATTTGGGGGTTTTTAACTGTCTAGGGTTTGAATTGTGCAGGGAGATGCGGAGACGAAGGCAAGCTTGGAGAAGATCAAGAAGCAGCTGGCGTCGAGCTCCGGGAGAAATCTACTGCAAGGACCGCTTCTGAAGCGGTCTGAAACGGTTAGTCTTTTTCTTCGCGGTTTCGCTTGTTCTGTTCTGCTCGCTGTTTCAGTTCCGTTTATATGTTTAGAATCTCGCGATTTTTTGTTTGTGAGAATGAATGGATTTCATTTTCATGGTGATTTAATTGTGTGCTTACTCCATAATATAATTTTTTTGGCCTTTTGCTTGTTCAGCTGGTTCTTTTCCAATTTAGGAGGTTGGTGACGAATGGATTGAATTCATGTGTTTTAGTTCCTATAAGTCCATTTTGTGTCGCATAATAGTTGTCGTACGGTACTGAAACAATTGGGTGTGGGTGTGGGTGTGGGTGTGGGTGTGGGTTTGGGTTTGGGTTTGGAGGTGGTGATGTGGAGAAGAAGTAGAATCAGATAATTAATGTGGCTGTGAGATTTAATGTACAATGCGAACTCAGTATCTTGTAGTATGAGGTAACTGTGTTTTCTGCCTGAGTTGCTTTGTAAATTAAAAGGTCTTGTTGACTATATTGGGCATAAAGAGTTATTGCCCAGTTGTAAATGGCAGATGGCGTGCAGGCAGATTTCTATGGCCAGGCATATGTATGTTTCATTAATTGCATATATATGTTCTATGTATGATAAACATATATTAAAAGTTATAGTGTGTGCCATTTACAACTATGCATCACTGTATACCCTCCAGAAGTTTATTTGTGTAACTTGTTCTTCATCAACTATGCAATCAAAGTTTCGTCAACTGAAAAACCAGCTGGGCAAATAATTAGATTCTAGACTACCATCTTTATATTATCTAACTTGCCACTTCTTGTCTTGCATGCTGTTTGAACGCATTATTATGGTAGAAAAATATAAAACGATATCAGGAAGAAGCAAAGTTGAACCATGATTTCTTGTTTACATTTCTTTTTTGTCTGAGTGTTAGTAGGAGATTTCACTACTTTACGTCAACAACTACTTGGTCCTGTGGGCCCTGAGGTGGAGACAATACATAATTGTTCTGTTCTGCAAACTGTCAGATATTTATTTTTTTTGGACTTTAGCCAATCCCATGTTAAAATGAGCAGCATTGCTTACTTTATTCTTTTAAACAGCTGAGGAAGTGGAATGAAAGATGGATAATTTTAGATCCAACAACTGGGAAGATGGAGTACAAGTAAGAGCTTAAAGTGACCCTTATCCGTGGATTTGGAGCCACTTATAAAATTGCCTTCCAATGTTGCCTGCCAAAGTCTTCATATGTTTGTTTTGATAGGCTGAGGAGAAACGAGCCAACAGTCAAAGGAACTATAATATTTGATGCAAACAGCACTATAACAATATCTCCTATAAATTTCCAGTAAGATGTTCTTTTACTTTATTCTGTACATATGGTAGTTCATGTTTTTTATGTCTTTGGGTAGTGCATTTTTACTGTAAATTAATCATAACAATTTATCCTTTTCTATTGATGCAGGGGTTTACCAAAGTATGATGGCTGTTGCATCTGTATCCGTATTTCTTCGAATGATTTCTTTCCATCTACTTCTCTATGTTTTCTCTATTTTATGTGTCATAATGTATTGAAAGATATTATGATATGGTAATCTAATTTGGAGTTCGACAATTCTGAGTGCAATAATTTATGTGTATGTATATAATTCCTTATTTTCATTTAAAAATCCTAGCGCTGGCCTTTTCGATTCTTAACTTGATCAATAGATATCGGGACACCACAGAAAAAAGATTATTTCCTCTGTGCAGAAACTCCGGCTGCTGCTAGAGCCTGGGTATCTACTCTACAGTGAGTTTTTTTTTTCAAGTTATTGCAACTTGTTTCTTCTGTACAAAATGTGTGAATGTGAAGTTCCATAGGCTACCGATACAAATTGTTATTTCAAGTTTAATCCCTTCATCTTTAGAATCCAGCGAGAGTGAAATCTTAGTCTAATTTTTTGTAGCTAATATCATTTCCCTTTTCCATGATATAGAACTCTGGAAGAGTAACTTAAAATAAAAGCATGTCTAATTTGTTTTGTACTCTTACCATTATGATATTGTGTTGTAAATAGGTTCTTTTCTTCTCTGTTATATTTATCATCCCACTTGAAATATTCATTTTTGTTTGATAGTTGCAGTGTGCTTATTCAATCTTCCATAATCATTATTGGCTGTTGTGTTAGAGGTCACAAATCACACTGTGCCTTTCTACGGATTTTTAAATATAAAAATCAGGGTTTTGTGATGGTTAATAAACATATTTACAATGCTAAACTTCTTGAGTGCCACTATGAATGTGAATTAAGTGTTTGTTTCAATGAACAATTATGCAATGTAGAACTTGAAATATCCAAACGATTGTCTGTTTTTTATGCCCTCCATACCACATCTCCTATCCATGTTGCCGTCATATCTCTTTTTTTTTTTTAAAGTATTACACATTTTAAATTTTTTAATCTATAATATTTATAATTTTAATTAGACTAATTAGTTATATTTTTATTTTAATCTATAATTATTTGTATTGTACTGTAACTTTTCTATAAATATATTTTTAATTATTTATTAATGCCACTCCTAAAACAAAAAAGGCGGAACAGAGGAGTATCATTTATTGCCTTTCTTGCATTTTAGTCCCATAAAATATAGTTAAGAGCTTGTTTTACACACTTCGATGTAAATTTTTGTTTACATTTTCTCCCAACTCTACACATCCTGCACACCTTTCAGAATCCGGTTTTCCTTTCAACTGCAGTGCTACACAACTGGTTTTGAAGGCTCATAAAGAGGCTGTGAATACCTTAAGTGGAAATGGATCCTCCAGATTAGGGACAGTTGCTACTGTTGTTGCTGCGGCTAATTCAACTGCCCTAGAAGCTTCTAAGGAAATTGAAGCTGCAATGCAAATCACCATGAGGAATGCCTTGGGATCCATGCTGAATAAGACAACGGATCTTCCAATGGATGATTTATCAATCATGAAGGTAATTTTTTTAGGAACTTAACAACATGGGTTCTTAACTTTTCTTTAAATCGTTAACTTTTACCTTTTGAGATTTATGCTTCGCTTTTTTTTGTGTGTGTGGGGGCGGGGAACTTACTCCATATGCTCTCATTACATCTATATTATTCATAAAATCTTCATTCCAAAATGCCATTTTCAATCAAACAACATATTTGGGGTTTCCAACATTCTTGGATGCTTTGTGTAAGACCAGTGCTTGTTGAGATTATGGAGCGATCACACGATTCAGATGCTAAATCTGTCCGTACATTTAGTAACTTAACGTAATTTTTGCTGCTGAAATCTTCAAGCAGTTTGGAATGTGAGGAGTTTGTTTCCGAGTGTATTTCAATTAAATTAAAGTTACAGATTTAATTTTCTTTTCTTTTTTCTTTTTTTATTTTTTTCTGTTTTTTGTAAATATGGAGAGTTGATCGGCTGTTGCATTCTTGTGATGATATCTTCACCAGCTGAACTTTTAACATTTTTATGTGTTGCAGGAAACCTTGCGTGTGAAGGATGAAGAACTACAAAATTTGGCAAAGGATCTACGAGCTAGGGATTCAACCATAAAGGAAATAGCCGAGAAACTATCTGAAACAGCTGAGGCTGCTTCTGCTGCTGCGTCTGCTGCTCGTACCATGGATGAGCAAAGGAGAATTGCTTGTGCAGAAGTTGAACGTCTAACGAGAGACTCAGAGAAACAAATGGAGTCATTAAAACATAGGGTAATTGTAGATTCTCATTGGCTATAATTTATTTATAGATTCCATTTTCATTCAACAATTTTGATTAATTTACCACATGTTATTTGCTTCAATAGATGAGAGAATTGGAAGAAAAGAATCAGAATCTCAATGAAGAAAAAGACCAGTTGATTAAACAGCGGGATTCAGCTTTTAAGGAGGCTCAGTATTGGCGTTCAGAAATTGCTAAAGCTAGAGAGCGCGCAGTGATTTTGGAAGGAGCAGCAGTTCGAGCTGAAGAGAAAGTCAGAGTCACAGAGGCCGATGCTGAAGCTAGAGTAAAGGAAGCAATGGAAAGAGAATCAAGTGCTGCTAAGGAGAAGCAAGAACTACTCGGTCATATAAATGCACTACAAGAGCAACTAAGAAGGTTTATCAAATTATCTTTTCGGATACAAAAAGATTCGATTTCTAATTCATTTTGCTCAGTTTTGAACTTCACAATAAAAATGCATCTCTTTTATTAGTATTGCCGCCCTTAATTTACTCCCTATCTGTGACGAGTTACATCATAAATGGTCATCTATTATTAAATTTCCTAATTTTATGATTTCCTTCGGACAGGCAGCAGCTTGAAAACAGACAAGTCTTTGCTGAGAAGGCTGAGTCATGCTCAAATATCGGCGGTGATTTACCGCTAACAAAGCATGTGGATCCTTCTCAAGAAAATGTAGACAAAGCCTGTCTTAGTGTCTCGAAGGTAACACCCGGGCCCACAGAGAATATCTTTCATCTCGCAGGTGAACAGTCGGATCTCCATTCTATCAGGGAAAGTGAGTGGAGCGATATTCAAACCACTGAAGCTCGGATAGCTGATGTTCGCGAGGTTGGGCCCGATGCCGGAGACAACAGCCATGATATTTCTGTCGTAGCTTACCCCAGCAACGAGCACCAGGAAAATAGGTCCTCCTCCCATCAACCTTAAGAGATGTTGGGAGTATCGTCAGATCTCCATGGTAAGACTCAACTACCTTGATGATATGCTTGGTGTCGATTTTGCGTGCATACTGTCGTGAGCTATTTGATTATGTTGGCAAATTTTGCATGCTTAGCATAATTTGATCTTTTACAGCGGTGAGCGCGTTTTCGGAGAAAAATTGAGTGCACATATATATATATATATTTGCGTAATGATCTTGCCTGAGACGAGAAGTCAAAATGTTTATACATGACAGTGGTGTTGTGTCATCTCATCGACTATGGTTGCTGATATGTTTAGTTGGTGTAGTGAAATGGCAAATTTTTTTTTTTTTTATTGCCGGTATTATTGTTGAGTTGTGCTTTGGAGTTTTTGTTTTTGTTTTGAGATGTCTGGGATTATGGCTTATGAATTCTTGAATGATGTTTATATGTATTTTGTTCTGTCTTGCTGTTTTTATTGGTTCAATTCTAGAAAAAGTTGTTGTCTTTGTTTCACACACACACACTATATGTGTGTGTATATATATATATATATAGAGAGAGAGAGAGAGAGAGAGAGAGAGAGAGAGAGATTATGGTAACTAGTTGTTGTGGTGGTGGACCATAAGATTATGGAGCCAAATATTTGGTGACGTTTTATCCCAATCTAATTTACTACTAGTGTGTAAGTATTTGAAGAAGATTTTTTTTTTTGTTTTTTTAACTCACACTCCCCCGCAGTGCACACACACTCATCCAGGATTGAATCTTGGACCCAAGTGAGATTTTTCACTGAAGAAGATTAAATGCACATAGGAGTTCAAAAAATATCTTAAATTCGATTCAAACCAAATTGAAATTTAAAATTTTATTTGGATATTTCAAATCGATTTCGTTTGAATATTTCATAAATTTCGGATCCGTTAGGATCAGTATATGCAAATTAATCTGAAAATTTGAAATGTAATATTTTAATAAAAATAAGAACTAAAAATTATTAATTATATTTTAATATATTTATTTAATATCATAAAACAATTATAAAAATTTAAAATTTAAAAAAAATATATATATATAAGGTGTGTTTACTTGTGAGGTTTTTGTTTTAAATTTTGAATAGTAAAATTTTGATTTGAAATAGTTATTTGATGTGATATAAATATGTATTGATATGATGTTTTAAATGTAAAATCAAATTTTAGTGTAATAAAATAAATAAGAATTGAGTGTTTGATTTAATATTTTCTTAAGAAAAAAAAAAAGTTGAAATAGTAAAATTGACTTAAAATTTTACAAGTAAACAGACTCATAGAATTTTTGAAGTTGGCGAAATCGGAATGATCACTGTATTGATTGGATCATACATATATCTGCAATCGACGCATGTTATTCACTTCATTGAATTAAGGTGTAAGCTATGGATAGAGACTTTTATCAAATAGCACCAATTAGATAAGAGTGCAGCAAAAACACACATCTGACAGATTCAAACATGCTCTCTCTCTCTCTCTCTCTCTCTCTCTCTCTCTCTCTCTCTCTCTCTCTCTCTCTCTCTCTCTCTCTCTCAATTTGAAGTTAAATCGGGATACATCTTCCACAAACTACCACCAGCAATTCCATTTTATGTACTCACAAAGTACCAGATTTTTACTATTGACTTTGATAATACGATGAATAAATTAGGCTGAGGTCTGCATCGGGAATGCATCTTTAAGCATCTCGGACATGTTCAGAACAATCTCCGCAAAAGCTGCAGTAAAAAACACCGGAACATTAATAACGAAACAACTGAAAATAGCTATAAATCTTTTAGGTGAGAGATGATCAGAAGCCCCACAGAAATCTCCCATCACATTCATTTATTAGAACAAGCGTTGTGCGCGCAATATAAGAGGGACAGGGACAAGGACAAGGACGCAGGCAGGAAATATTAAATATCCGTCTCAAAACATACAAACGTATCAGCTTAAGATAAAATTGGTGGCATTAAATCATTAATATGTATGTGTAATTTCAAAAAAATTCATCAAACCTTCAGGTAAACTCATTGTTCGTAGGGCATCCTCAGCTGGTACTAAACGAGCTGGAATTAGTTGACTTCTTGTAGCCCCATTGTCCCTCTGGTCAACTGGCAATGCACTGGTTCGACGTTTCTTAGTTTGCCGCTTAGGCCATGCAAATACGCTGACTTCACAAGGTAGTGTTGCGAGAAGATCCGCGTATCTAAGATTCACAGTTATCTTGCTGTGGAATAAATCAGATGAGAATGAACAATAACTCAAAATGATATAATTTTTAAAAATAATAATAATAAAAAAAAAAAAAGGATTTAACTCATAAAGAAAGACAAAACAAAACAAATATTTATGTTAAGAAATAACAATAAAGTAAATTGCTCGTATCATTAATAAAACTCTTGGAAATTGGAATCATGCCGCCACTTACCAGTCAAAATTCGCCAGCACAAACTCTATCATGTGATGCGGGAGACTAAAGTAAAGCTCCCCTATTTGATTTCCATACAATTCCTTTACAAGGCGAACCTAGTTTACAACCAAATTCAAATTTCAAAATCATAATTCACAAAACAACAATGGAAGAATCAGAATCAACGCATATGTATATATATATATATACTCATAAATAACTTCTACAGTTGATAGTGTGAGTATATTCATTAACAAAACATTGTGTTCGGCCACCAAGAAAGAAACCAAATCAACCAAATTCAATCAAAGCGATTTCAAAAGATGCAAACTATATATACATCACACAGAAATATTTCAATTTAATTTTAGTTGACAGCTTCAACTAAAAATAAGCATGGTGTGTTCACCCAACAAAACATTGCGACACAGCTTCAAGATTAATATTACTAAAAAATACAATATATACACACTCATACACTATATATAATGTATACACTTTATTTACTTACAAAAACTCAACAATTCAATAGAAAATATTACTATTTTTAATATTATCGACACGATTTTTCATACCTAATAAAAAAAACACCTCATACTAAAAACATTAAACACGCACTCAATATTATTTATTTAACAAACTAAGATGATGTGAAATGAAAGAAAATGGAGCACTGTGAGTTACAAACAAACCACATTCAGAGACATGTGAATGTAGAAGGATGGGATAACTAGTTAAGATTATTATCATTTTGTGATAGGTTTCTATATGACAAATACACTTGCTGCGAGGGAGTGTAATCATTAAGCCACTTGATTGAAAATTGTGTTTTACTTCAAAATCGCCCCTCGCTGTTCTAAACAGATGATTTTCTCTCAAATGGCTTAATGATACTCGTTATTCATACACACACACACACACGCATATATGTGTATATATTTGAGAAGCATACCTGCTCTTTTCTATCGACATAAGCCTGAAGCAAGTCTCCCACATAATCTATGAACTTCTGCTACCCAGATAAAAAAGGCGTAAAATATAGTGTTAAAATCAGCATAATTAATTAGACTATGAAATTCGGCAGTGAAACAGCTAATCCCACCATTGCATTTGAAGAGAGATAATCATTTTCCACCTCACGTATCGGCAAGAAAAATGGAATTGTATGCTCGAGAACAGTCATTTTCTCTAGAAATGACTTGCTTTCAAGAACACAATGGAACACCTCACAAGGTTCTCCTGTAGAGTTTTGTACTTATAATCACTAACAATTTCTCAGTAAAAACAAGCAAAGGCTGCAGCTAAACATATAAAATTTCCAACATGCAATATATGATATCCGTAAAATAGATTAATGTGTATTTTGAGTTTGTATTTCATTCTGCAAAATAGAGTAATATAAAGTTTAGTGATGTGATCATAAATAATATCTTTTGGATAAAAATTGTTCCAATGATATATTTTTGGTAGTGTGAAGCTTAATTGAAGAAGAATAAGTGAGGAAACAAGATATAAGTTTACATGTGCCATGCTTGTGGGAAAGCACCCAATATCAACCAACAAAGTAAGATCATGAAGATAAAATCTATTATTACAGAACTTCCAGGGTTTGTTTGGATGTAGGATTGGGTTGGGATTCCAACTATTCACAAGTTTCTCCCTTAAAACATCCAATCAAACTTAATTTTTATTTTTTTTATATTACATTAAAAAATTAATATTTCATTCAAAATATAACATCAAAAACCTATTTATATTATACCAAGTACCAAACACATTAAATCAAATTTTCACTGTTCCCAACCCAAAACCTACTCCCAATCCCACATCCAAACAAGCCCTAGTCATCTAAAACCATTGCAAAGATGCATGTATATACACAAATGTATGCACACAAAAAACTCATATGCAGAAAAAGGATAAACCAAATATAAATCATAAAAGCATATTTCCAGTAAAAACAGCAGATGTCAATTTAAGCCATAAAAAGCAACAAAGCATATGAAACAACTTCAAAAGGATGAATTCAAGCAGTACCTGCAAATGACGTTTCATACAGAATGCCAATTCTTGCTCCATCCAAACAACAGATTATCTGCTTAATAAAAAAAATAAATAAAAATAATGTAAGAACTTCGAAACCAGCCATCATCATCAATGGCCACTGAGCTACTGTCAGCCTTTTAAGGATATTGTTTTGGCACTGCTGACAAGAGGTGTAACTCAAAACCATAGGAAGTTACTAGCAGTTATATAAACCATGTGATGCTCTATTTATATAACTGCAGCTCCATCTTTTTATGTTTTAACAGTTAGACAGAATTCATCATTCTTCTACCTCTACTGAATAAAGCTCTTGATCTGATCTACAATTCTTCCTTTCTAAGACTTAATTTCAATTTGACTATCATGCTCAAAGAATACAATATTAATCACAGTTTCATGGAGAAATTCTGACCAGCCGAAATGAAACTTAGAAGTTCCCAAATACAACCAGATAGTTTAGAAACCACCTCTCCTCCTCTCCCGTCTAAATTATAGAAGAAGATATACTAATCAATTCTTTTTATCTTTCTTCACATATTTTATCAGTCAAAGATGAATTATATAAGACCAGAATTATTATATAACCAGAGGATTGTGGAAACACATATGGTGGTTGATGGCTGATGCAGATGTAACTAACAATAATTATCAGTGCAAAACACAGTTAAAAGGATGTAAATGCTAATGCCATCGTGTAATGCATTAAGGGTGTGTTTGTTTGGGGGATTGGATTTAATTTCCACTATTCATCCTATTTTTTCCCCCCAAAAAACATCAAATCAAACACCTATTTTTCATTTTTTATATTATACTAAAAATCAATTTTACATTCAAAACATCACATAACACCTATTTATATCACATCATACAACTATTTAAATTTAAAATTTTTACTATTCAAATCCCAACTTAAAATCCAAACCCTCAAACAAACACACCTAAGTACAAAAAATCTTTGGAAATCGGGATAAAATATATACTGTATGTTTTCATTGACTTGCTGGTTTTATTATTGTGAGATAATTTTCAGCAGCATTACAGAACAATTTTGGTGACACTAGCATGTAAAACTTTCGGTAAGCAGAATTAACAAATAAAAATCCATATGAACACCCTGACAATATCTCAAAGCAAAAAGCAGTAGTCTAGCACAAAGTTTGATGCCAATCATGCCATATAGCACTTCAGAAGCAGAATGCTCAACCTTCATTTACCTTATTTCCAGCTCTATAAGTACATTTCTCATGAATGGAGTGGTCTAACATTGCATCTGCATCTCTTCGCGATTGTAATGTTTTCCTTTCAGCTTCCATGTGAACCTTAATACAAATAAGAAGCCGTGCATGTGAAATTCTTATAAGAGCTAGGAACCTTGAAGACTTGTCATTTTCATCAATCAACAAAGTAGCAGAGCAAAGACATGATATAAGGGATATCATGTTCCAGCAGAAAAGATACATATTCACATAGAAATATATTATAGGCTGATCGTGAAATAAGTGTCAGTATTGTGATGGATATTCTGATAAGTTTGGGATTTTTTTTGGAAATGCTTTTGATTGTTTAGTGGTATCACATTAAAAACCTTGATAGAATTATAAAAAAATTTATACACAACCAATGTAATCCATAAACAAGCATAAAGATTATCCTAAACTTTAACGAATGTATCTGTTTTGAGGAATTTTAGGAATATTAAAGAGTACTATATTTAATGGTAGAAAAAGTGGTTTACTGGCTTCAATTTTCGTTCTTTATTATTATATTATTATTTTCAAAACTGAATTTAGTTTGATAAGCAAAAGCTCATTTGGAGGCAATATGCATGATGATATGGTAGCATAAATGTGCTTATGATAATAATAGTAATAAAAAGTTTATGCAAATTGCAAAATAACATAACGCTCAATTTCATTTTATTTTATTTTATTTTTTTGAGCTTACAACTATATTGGCTAACAGGCCAACTTCTGTTGTTTACAACAATCAATCGACCAAAAGCGTTAGAAGATGCAGGTTGCAGTACAACCTAGGAAAATAAGCATTAGTCACATCTCAAACCTATTAGGAAAATATATGCACGTCTTTACATTATTGTGGCAGTTAAGGTTACTATTCTAAAGAAGGCAATTTAAGCATTCGGGCAAGGTGTCAACACAGCATGCTTAACTACAAACATGGTCTTTTAGCCATCCATGTGACCAAAAAAGGCATCTTACATAGAAAAATCAGAACTTTTTTGTACATAGTAAATGCAAAAGGATATTTTTCTTTAGCCACATAATCCAAAATCCAACAATAGCAGAGAGTGAATTTTAAACCAGGGAATGGACACTCAAAAAAACATACCCGCTCTCTTACTGTTGCTAGTAACCCATCATTCCATTGCTCACCTTCTAAATATATTTCTACAAGGAAAACAAGCATAGAATCAGATGTAGAAACTAGCAAAAAAATGAAAGAAGAGCTGGAATCAGCAACCAAATACATAAATTAAATACGAGCCAGAATAATCAATAAAAGTAGAGCATAAACTAGAACATTGATTTGAAGAATAGAAAGTATCTCTGTCACATCATATTTCGACTATCTATGCCTGATTCCTAATGCATGCAACTCAGATTCCAACTCTATTTTGTATTCTTCACTTGCTCCCCACCGCCTCGATGTTGAAAGCTCTCTCTTCTCTAGCTACTTACTTTGTTTTCAAAATTCTTGCCTATTTAGGCATACATAAGTTTCAGTCTAGAATGATTTGTACAGCTAAGCTCTGAAGATATAAACATATCAATAATTAAAGATGTTACCAGATTGGGGAAAAAAAAGAACCATTGCATATAATCTACCTCGTGTTTGAGAAACACGAACAGCATCAAACTCCTTCTGCAAGCGCTCAAAAAGGGTCTTGTCACAGTCCCTGTGAGACTTCCCAACTTTTAGCGCATTGTACAGTTTAGGGGCAAAAACCATTAGCACTAAATGAAAGTAGTCTGATTTTGTAAGTATACCAAGATAGAAGGAAGAATGAAGGATAGAAACATAAAATTCAGATTTCAGCCCTTTGGGTCATTATCACATACGAGCATTACAAGGTCATCGGCAAGCTAAGCTTGTCCAGCACTATCTTGCCACACCGAGGTTGTAAACACGGAGCCCAGAATGTTGAAGTTTCCCTTATAACAAGAAGAGCCCTATAAAGATTCTTGCTCTTCTCAACTAGGGGGAGAAATATATATTTCAAGCTTGCGGTAAGTTTGAGCTGCCACCAGTTTGGTAAGAACCAATTTAAGCATGAGCATTCAAGTTTTTGTTCCAAGTCATGAACATCCTAATAATAAATTGGTTGTAATCATGAGGATTTCACGAGCAAAGCTCTGTTTCAAGGATTCAATAGATTGGGCCAATCGACTTCCGTCAGAAGGACATGAAAAATAAATGTCAGTTGATCATCGAAATGATGAGGGAAAAGAAACAGCACCAGAATATCTCGATCTTCATTCATCAGAAAAATACCACCTTTTATTGCTCTTGTTTTTGTCATGCAAAATTTGAGGTTAAAGTGGTGAGTAACAATCTCCATGCTATAATAAACAATTCAATCTCAAAATTATTCCCTTAATATTTAAAGAATTGAGAGTTTCAAGAGGATTTTGTTGCCAATTTGGTAGAAACAGAGAACTGATATTATCTCCGAGAGTATCTTTCCTAACAAATGGCATGACTCAATTGATACATGATTCGAAATGTCAGAATAACAATACAATCTAAATAAAAATGTTGTTACCCAAACTCACACACAAGCTACTACAAATTTTTCCGTTGAACAGATCAACCCATATTTGGAACTTGGCTCAGTGTTGAAGTCAAGTAGCTCAAAACTCAATCCAATCAAATTTGATTTGAATTGTAAGTTTCATGTTGAGTGGCTTAGAATTTTAGATGAGGCTCACTACAATCCAAGCCCACATTTTTCAATTTGTAAATACTTGTGAAGAAGGCTAAAAACTATAATTAAGGATACTAAACAGACCAAACTAACACGATTATCACAATGGAAAATTCTTTGCAAAGCATCTATTCACATTAGTTGTAGAGAATATTAGCGCCATATTAGTACCACACCCAATGGGCATATAATTTTATAATTCATAACATTATAGTGTTAAATGAATATTGGCTTAATATAATCGCCTTGCATAATATAATGAGACACTAGAAATCTTGAGTTAATATATAGCAACCAAGTTATAGAACGACAGTCAACAGTTAACTCTGAAGTTTACACCCTATGAGCGAGAATTTGATGCATCTAGCACAATATAAGATAATAAACCAACCGTCTTGAATTAATGAATTGCGAAGTAGCAATAGAACAATGTTCGAAAATCAACTCTTGAACTTTAGACCCAATTAACACAATGTAGCAAATCAACCTTTAAACATAGTCTTTGCCGTTTTGCATAGAAAAGTATTAATTAAGCCAGCAAGGTGAATATATGAAGCAGCAATCACGAAGTACCAACCAAGTGGCAATATAAATGACAGAAATCGACAAAGACTACATTAATGACAGCATCCATACCTCGAAAGTCGCACCGTCAACTCTCCATGCCTTTTGAGGATATTTGTAACTAGAAAAAACAACGGGCTTACCAACAATACAAATAGAAACTTCCAAGATAACAGGACATAATGCAAAGGAAAATACATCTTGCACGGGTAGTCTCTAACCGAATATCTTCAGCCCGAGGGAAATTCTGTTAAAGTGAAAACAAATAAAGTAATTCAGAAACTATGAATGTCTAGAAGAAAATTGCACGAGCCCAATTCCCATTCCAATCTACCTGCTAACGATTTATTAAAGACATGCTTATGTTTAATATATATTTGCCCTAAAAACATCAAATCTAACACCTACCTTAAAAGCCATTTTTCCAGCTGTACTCTCTCGATTATTTCACATTCAAACATAGCATCTATAACATATGCTTGGTTTAAAATTTTCAAATTCAAAGCATCCCAAAAACTACAAAAAAGAAACACACCAGATAAAGGACATATTACTGATGGCATAGTAAGGAATTCAATATCTACAACAATTTTGAGAATCCTCAGCCTACTGATTCAATCATGATAAATTTCTGATCACGTAAAGGGTGTAACACCAATCTTAAATTATATGTTCTTTCTCGAATATATATATATATATATTCTAGTCTACACTTCAAAACGTCTTACGTCTCAATCCATCAGACTTAGGACACTTCAAAATCCCCAGCCCTCCCAAACTGAAACCCTAATTTAAGCCCCAATTTTCTTTTCGATATAACACAATTAGGGTTCGAGATTGTACGAGCAAGAAGATAAAGGCAATGTACAATAGCAGGCAAAAACAAGTAGACGAACCAAAACATTGACCGAGTGACTCCCGTCTTCTTCCCTCGTCATCAACATGGTTCGCCGGAACGCTGAAGCTCGAAAATTTGGATGGGGTCTGCCGGCGATAGAGGAGCGGCGGAGGAGGGTTTATTCTTTTTTTTTTTTTCCTATTATTTTATTATTATTGTTTTCTTTTAAATTAGTTACAAAGGTGTTGTAACAATCGATATATATACATACCAGTCTTATGTTTTTTATTTTGAATTTAAGATTTATTTTATTTTTATTTTTTTGTTAGACACTTGCGATTCAAAACTATTTTAAATGAAATATATATAACTATTGTCTTCAACTAATTATTTTATTTTTATTTATATTAATTTTACTTTAATTATAAACTTTAATTTTTACTATAAAAATATATTTTTTATATATATTTTTTTATATTATTTTATATAATTTTTAATATTTATAAATTACACCACAACTTTAATTTATTTTTACAATATAATCCAAATATATATAATTACATATTATATATCACTTTTCGAAAGGTAAATATATCCCTTTAAAAAATAAAATTATACATTATTTTTAGAAAAATAAAATTATATCACTTTTCAAAAAATAAAATTATACATTATTTTTTTAAAAAGTAAAATTACATATTATTTTCTAAAAAAATAAAATTACACAATATACTCAAAAAAACAAAAATACACAAATACTATAAAACATCACACAAACTTCACTCCAAAAGTGGAGTGGAGTGTATAGTGTTACTCCAAAAATGCAGTGGGTTGGAGCTGCTCTTAATACATATAATGAAAATGCTTCATATATCAAATAGACAAGAAATAATTTAAATTAGGAAAAAAATCAATTTTAATTTTAATAATATAATCAAAATTTATCAATTTTGGTCTCAATATAAAAAAAAAAATTATCAATTTTAGTCATGACGTGGATGTAATGGAGTTATCATGGCAGCTGACACAGAAACTATATGGTCATGTACAATTATATATCATCATGTTGTCACGCGGTCATTTTTAATTCTACACAACTGTGTACATTTCTATTTTTGTCTAAAATTTTATTTTTTTTGTTATATTTTTTGAAAAAAAAAACATTTTTTAATTAGAATAGTTGATATAGTTAAAATAGAAAAAATCAATAGTAATTATAATATAATTAAAAATATATCAATTTTAATTCAAATTTAAAAATGTACATTCTTTTAAAAAAAATTTGCCTAAAATTCTACTATATATCAAATTTTTCCTCTTACAAACATTAACTTTGATAAATTTAATCAAAATTGTGTGATAAATTAAGTTATTTTAATTTAGTTTTACTAATTAATTATAAGTGAAACTTTATTTTATTTATTTTAAAAATATTCTTATATTTGTATAATTTTTTTTATACAAATGTCATTATATTAGTATTATAAGAAAGTATTTTTGTCATTTTTCTTTAATTTGTAATATGTTTTGATATAATAATTAATATTCAAATATCAACGTGCAAAAAGAGTAAATTGATACTAATAATATAGTAACTTAACTGACAGACAAATAATTATATCAATTATTTAAAAATGAAACTTATCCAATTAATTTTAATGATTAAGTACATTAATGAAATTGTAGATAAATGAGAGTAGAGAATAAAATTAGAGAGAAATGAAATTGAACAATGAGAGGTAAAACAGATAATTCAGTTAACGAGAAATGTTAAAAAAAATTGCAGATATACGAATGGATCAAACAATAATAAATGATTAACCAAATTAAAAAAAAAAAAAAAAAAAAAGAGTTTTAACGAATGAGAATTTATAAAAAATATTTTTTGCGAATTTGTTTTTTTTTAAAAAATTATTAAATTATATACGATGTTTTTTAAGATTATATTTTATTACAATTTCTTAAAAAAATCGTAAAAATTAAATATTTTACCGATAAATTAAATTTGATTTTTGTAAAATTAAAATAATATAATTTTAAAAAATTATAAAAATTAATTAATAAAAAGTAAATAAATAAATAAATATATATATGCCACGTCACATAAATAAAAACAGAGAAATGAAAAATAATTTATTTGTCAAGTTTATTTTTCTACTCAAATAAACAAGAGAAAATAGATCATTTCCATTTCTCTGACCTAATTTATCTGTACCAAACATACCCTTACGGTATGCAAACCACATATTTATTTAAATAAAAGGACCGACCAACCGGATTAACTTTTGGTATATATTTAAGACTGATATTATCACTTTTGTCTTGAATTTATCTCGCTAGCAAAATATTTTTACATATTTGCAAAAGTAGCTATTTGTACCTTTTTCCTGCGCGTAGCCACGCGTGATGCAGCGAGATAAATACAAGACAAAAGTGATAATAGGATATAGAGAGATATTTTTTACAATTTTCTCTTGATAGATACTAGCGTTTCATATATATTTCGGTATGGTATATATCCAAATTCGATGCCACGCTGGTGGGTTTATGCATGAGATTATGGTGTATTATATTATTTTATCCGATCTAATCTCATGTTTATTTTGATGTATTAGAGTTCTCTATAATTAAAAGCCTTAATATTATTTATTCGTATGTACTAAATTATCTTTCCTTTAAACACTTAGAAACTTTTTATATAAATATAATACAATATTTTTGTTTAATATACTTTGATTTTATTTTAAATATAATTTATTTATTTTTTAAAAAATATTAATTAATAATATAAAGTTATAAGAATACTATAAAATATGTTATTAAAACTTAATATATAATTTTGAGGACAAAATTTAATATATTTAATAAATGATAAAAAAAAATATATCAAATTATATATATTATGTCATGACAATATCATAAGTAAATTTTAATATTGTTATATATTATATTGCTATAATTAAAATTTAATATATATATATAAGAAATTATATTACAATAATTTATAATAAAATCATTAACGGCGTTTTCAGAAAAAAAAAAAAAAAAAAATCAAATCAAATCAAATATAATTTTGTCTAATATTTGATCATACAAAATAAATGTTATATTAATTAATCTATTGATTATATAACCCATTGAAATGATTTCGGTATAATAATCAATTATTCAAAGTAAACACACCCTAACGGTATGCTATACACCGTGATAAATAAAATTTATATTATTTCGTACCAAAATTTTATGATACAATAGTATACCAAATTAAAAATTGTGGTATACCATATATATATATATATTTATGATATTGTATGATACCACATTTTCGATATAATTATTTACCCTTCATTGCTACAGTTGATATGTTTATTTTTAATTTACTTTATTAAATAGCTTTTTTGAAAAAATATAATTCTTATTTATTAAAAAATCATTTAATTAGTTTATTATATTTGTTAAAAATATTTAAAATTAATAAACTTTAATAATAATAGTTTAATTATTACAATAATAGTTTAATTATTACGTAAAACAAACTAAAATAAAAAATAATTTAAAAAATATGTCAATTTTTGTGAGATATAAATATATATTTTCTCCTAAAACCTTTTCTATTTATTATTATTTTATTTTTTTCATTCAAATACGCATTGATTATGATGTTGATCAGGCAAATCAATTCAATTCTAAGAGCATTTTTTTACCGATCAATTTTCTCATTACTTCTTTTATTATAACTAAAATTATTATCTCTAATAATAAATACAGTTAACACTCACTTATTATCTTTTTTCAAATTTATTTTAAAATATGACATCCACTTATATATTTTTAAATCATATTTTCTTTAAGTATCTAATTTCAATATTTAAAATTTTAAAAGATTTATATTCAATTTTTTTTTGATAAACTATTTTTTTAATCCCGTTAGTGAAGTCTGTCACAAACTAGTCTTTTAAGTAAAAAATTTTTGTAATTTTAATTCTTCGGCGCGGGAGATGCCTGTGTGGCACCCACATGGTTCGTCGGATGCGACGTGTCCGCCAAGTCAGCGACACCGGCGGACACGTAGTTTTTCATTTTCTCAAAAAGAATTTTAATTTTCTTTAAATAAAAATAAAAATCTACGTGTCCACCAAGTGTCACTGACCTAGGAGGATACGTGGCCTCCGGCGAGTTACGCGGGTGCCATGCTGGCATCTTCAGCGACAATTTTTCAATTACGAAACTAAAATGATAAATAGGTACAGTTACGGGATTAAAAAAACAGTTTACCCATTTTTTTCCAACTAGTTCTTTAACAAAATTATTATAAACGAAAATTGTTATGTACCTGGGCCAACGGGACAGCTTCTACCCACATCATGAAATAATTGGTAGCCACGAGGATAAATGTGTGCACTTTTGATGACGGCGGGTGGATTTTAGTGATGACGTCCATTGCCCATCCTCTAAAAGACCACAGTTTGAGAATTGAATGAAGCTCCTCGGTTGGGGCGCGTTGTAAAGGATCGTGGCGTTAGCAAGATGGACATCCCTGGGCATAATCGATGCAATCTTGCGAGATCTAGGGCCAGAAGTAACCATATCGGAGGATAGTCCATCTTATAATCGGGCCAGCATAGTGCGCACCTATAATTCCTTCGTGTACTTCCGCCATTATTCCATCGCTTCATCTCGCCCCAAACATCGAGCCTAGGTTCCATCAGCCGTCGGCGATAGAAGTTCACCCTCGATGCACGTATATTTCAGAAGCTGTTCCCGCATGTGTCTCAAACCAGCTTTTTCGGGGTCTGCCAATGCCTCAAGGAGCTCCTTGCGCCAATCTACAACTCTGCTGGTAGTAAGGTATTCAAATTTAGTGGTTGGTTCATCCGTTCGATACCCGAATGCCTATTGAGCAAAGTCATTCGCCTCAAAATTCTCTTCTCGGGGAATGTCATCCAGTATCACCTTTATGAGCTGTTGAAGCAGACTGTGCACTTCCGAGAAGTTCCTGAAGTCGTGGGTCTTTGCATTTAAACTCCTTTAATGATTGTCGGATGACCAGCTGGGAGTCGCCCCGGATCAGAACATTTTCAGCTTGTCTTCCAGTGAGAAAATGCAGCGCCAACAAGAGAGCTTCATGCTCTGTCTGGTTGTTGGGTATTCTTTGCGGTAGTTGATGTGTGAAACACCAAATTTCTCCTTGAGGACTAGTTATGACGACTCCAGTCCCTGC